CAATGGCTAATATAATTCTAAATGGGGAAAAACTAAACTCTTTTACTCTCAGATCTGGTACAAGACAAGGATATCCTCTATCACCACTCCTAGTCAATATAATTCTGGAACCATTAGCTAGAGCCATTAGACAAGAGAGAGAAATAAAAAGAATAAGAATAGGTAAAAAGTTAAATTATCATTATTTGCAGATGACATGATACTTTACTTGGAAGACCAAAAAACACCAAGAAGCTACTAGAATTGATACACAAATTCAGTAGCACAGCAGGATACAAAGTCTATACCCAAAAGTCAATAGCATGCCTCTACACAGATAACAAATACACTGAGAGGGAAATTAGAGAAACAATACCTTTTACAGTAGCACTGCAGAAAATGAAATACCTTGGAATTTAACTAAAGAAGTCAAAGATCTTTTCAGGGAAAATTACAGTACTCTGAAAAAACAGATTGTAGAGGATTTCAGAAAATGGAAAGATATTCCATGCTCCTGGATAGGAACGACCAACATCATGAAGATGACCATACTCCCAAAATTGTTGTACAAATTTAATGGAATCCCTATCAAACTACCACCAACATACCTCCCAGACCTAGAGAAACTGTTCCTAAAATTTATTTGGAACCAGAAAAGACCTAGAATAGCAAAGGCAATCCTGGCCAACAAAGACAAGGCAGGAGGCATTACAATTCCTGACTTGAAATTATACTACAAAGCTACTGTGATAAAATCAGCATGGTATTGTCAAAGAAATAGACCTGAGGATCAGTGGAATAGATTAGAAGGTGTAGAGGCCTCTACAAACACTCAACCACATTATTTTCAACAAAGTGGCCAAACATGCTAACTGGAAGAAAGGTAGTCTCTTTAATAAATGATGCTGGAAAAACTGGCTCTTTACATAACACAAACTAAAACTTGACCCAGGTCTATTACCATGCACTAAGCTGAAGTCAAAATGGATTAAAGATCTGAACATTAAAATAGAAACACTAAATCTCTTGCAAGAGAAAGTAGGAAGAACTCTTTAAGACATAGGGGTAGGCAAAGAGTTCATGAACAAAAATCAAATTGCATGGGTAATACTTGAAAGAATTAACAACTGGGACCACCTCTTATTGAGAAGTTTTTGCACATCAAAAGAAATTATCTTGTTTTGAAATTTGGGGTTTTTTCCTCTTTAAACAAAAATAAAAAACTGGGCTGGGGATATAACTGAGCAGCACAGTACCTGCTTGGCAAGTGCAAGGTCCTGAGTTCTATTCCTGTTACCAAATAAAATTTTAAAAAATGATAGGAAAGGGGCTATGAGGAGAAACTATGGCTGAGAATATTCTAGAACTAATTATAGACTCCAAGAAAGTACAAACCCCTAAAAGAACGAATCAAACCCCTAACTGGAAACATCATAGAGTACTGGAAACCCCAAAATAGAAAATGCCAGAAGCAGCCAAAAGAATGAAGACCATTACCTAAAAAAGATTCATAATTAGACAGAACTTATAAGGATTTATAATCCAGGCAAAAGTGAAATGACATCTGCAAGGTGCTGAGAGAAAACAGTTGCCAATACTCTGTAAACTGAGCTTTGAACAGCAGGAGTGAATGGGCTTGGGGTGTGGCTCAGTAGTGGAGTGCTTGCTAGGCAGGTATAAGGCCCTGCTTTTGGTTCCTAGCACCAGGAGTGGGGGTGAGAGGTGTAAAGAATTTCTTGGTGATTTTCATTGTTGTTTGGGGGAAGTATTTTTCTTCCTTTTTTGGGTTGGTTTCTTGTTTTTAGACAGGATTTTGCTGTGCAGTTCAGGCTGGCCTTTGACTCCTGTAGCCCAGGCTGGCCTTGAACTCATGGCGATCCTCCTGCCTCACTTTCTCAAATGCTACGATTATAGGCATGTGGACATTTTTAGACAGACAAAGCCACTTCACCATTAACAGACTCTCAGTAACAAAACCTCTACAGGATATGATTTAAGATGTAAACCTCTTCGCCAGACCTACAAGGATGTTCAGAGCAGCACTTACTAGCAAAAGATACAGATTGGAGCTGTGCTTAGCATTCAGGAGACCCCAGGTTCAGTCCCCAACACCACTTATGTGCAGACCAAAATAAGGGCAGGTTGTATATCAGCAATACAAGAGATTACATTGTGGTGTCTTTCTGAGTGCAATATGATACAGCAATGAGAAGGAGGAACTGTAGCTGCATATGGCATGGATATAGCAACTGTAGTGTGGGTGAATCTCAGACAATTCAAACAAAAAAGGCAAATCCATTTATACAGTGCAAAAGAAGCAGACTTGTTAGGAGTGGTGACCTAGGTCTGTACTTCCAGCATTCTGGGAGACTGAGGCAGGGATTGCCAGTTTAACCCTGGCCTGGGCAACTTAGTGATTTCGCAAGACTCCATTGCAGAGTAAAACTCAGAAAGCAAGGCCATGGCACAGAATTCAGAACAGTGATTTGCTCAGAGACGCCACACGTAGATGAACTCTTATGTGGGTTGCTGAGAGCACAGGTGGGCATCTTTTATTATATTTTATGACAAACATACTATTTTTTGTGGACATGAAGTAATTTTTAAAAAGAGGGTGATGTGATGCCCACTTTGTCTACACATCAGATGAGGAACATTCACTTCGATTCAGCACATTTACAGTGAGCTAAGCACTTGATCTGCGTTTTTCTGTTGAACACTGAGAAAGCAGATTCTGTTTCCATTTTGAGATAACAGCTCAGAGCGGTTTAGTAACTGGTCCAAGATTGCACAGCCTAGGACAACCATGCATTTTGAAGACTATCTTAGCCCATTTTGTGCCAAGACTAGATAATTTATAAAGAACAGAAGTGTATTTCTCATAGCACCAGGGGCTGGGAAGTCTAGGATCCAGGCATCAGCAGGTTCAGTGTCTGGGGAAGGCTATCCTCTTTCAAGGTGGTACCTTGTTGCCACAGTCTCTGGAGAGAAGGAACACTACATCCTCGAATGGTACAAGGTGGTTGAAGCCTCTTTTATCAGGACCTAATCTCATTCATGATGGAGGAGCCCTTTTTTTGAGATAAGGTTTCACTATATAGTTCAGGCTGTTCTTGATCTCCCTAGGTGGCTCACGCTGGCCTTGAGCTCACCACATCTTTCTGCCTCAGCCTCTTGAGTGCTGGGATTGTGCTGGGGAGATAGCAGCATAAGTGCCTGCTTGGCAAGTGCAAGGTCCTGAGTTCAATCCCCTGTACCACACACACAAGTCTTTATGCCTCTTAGAAGTTTCCACGTACATAGCTTGCAGGGTAATTTGCTGAATTGGAAGGCTACTGCTTGGCCAAGTGCTGGGATTACAGGTGTGCACCATCAGGCCTGGCTAGACAAGCCCTCTTGACATAATCCCTACCTCTTAGTAGTAGTATCACATTAGTTACCAAGTCTACCTGAATTTTAGAGGAGACACATTCAAGCCATATCGCAGAGGATGCTCCAGGGCCTGGTACAGTCAGCTGTGGCTCTTGGCAGAGCCCAGTGGATACAAGGCAGGTGCTCACCCTGCACACTTCCACCTTTGTTCTTTCAGGTAATGAAATCTACAGGGGATGTGGCCGGCGGGCGCGCCCTGTATGAAGGATATGCAGCAGTCACTGACACTCCCCCCGAGTGCTTCCTCACCCTCAGAGATACAGTGCTGCTGCGCAAGGAATCCCGGAAGCTCATTGTACAGCCCAACACTCGCCTGGAAGGTAATGGGGTACAGGGGTTGATGGGGACCATGTAGGGCCTCCAGAGCACAAAGTGTACACTTGGACCAAAACCTCAGCATCTACCACTGCCACCACCATACAGAGTCATGCTGGTTGTCAACGGATGGGATAAGGAAGGCCAGCACATCGGGGGGTCATAGGACATCCAGGCCAGAAACTAAACAGTCATAGCTGTCAGGTGCCCTGCTATACAGTGAGGCGAGGCAGTGAGCTGGCACTCAGCAGGCCGAGTGGAACCCAAGGAAATAGCGGACTCTGCAGTATTCACGATGGATATCAGCCCTCTATCCCTGTCCTTCCTCAGGTGACAAGTCTATTTCCAGAAGCTCGGACTTGGCTGCATGGCACTTGTGCCTTGTTGCCTTTCCATTTCTCCAGCCCACTGAGCTCTCCCCACTCCTGTAACCTTTGGACGTGCTGTTCCCTCTGCTTGGCATGAGCATCTCCTGCATTATGCCTGTCTGATCCTTCTTGTCATTCAGGTCTTTGTTAAATTAAGATATGCATCTGCAAGCAACTCTAAAGGGCTCCACCTGTACTTCTCCCTGGCACAGGACAGCAGAGGTGTAAAGGTGCCAGCATAACGTGCTTCCCCTTCCTCTCTCTCTGTTCTTCAGTTTCCACTTGGCTACTTTCTTCCCTGTTTTGTCTCCATGAGAGTAGGGACAGCGTACCAGGAGCAACTTACCCTGCCACAACACAGAGCCCATCACATAGCAGCTGCTGTATGTAGTCAAATGAATGAAGAAACCCTGCCAGCCCCGTGGATAATACCATCATTGCTTTGATATGTCCAGGCTTGTGTGAGCCCGTGGGGGGTGAGGAGGTGAATGGAAGGTTTTCCTCTCAGGTCGTTCTCATCCCAGTTAGAAAGGATATGACCTAGTGATGATAATCGTACAAGGGAACCATCAGAGAGGCCCAAAAGATCTAACAGTGCTCTAGATGCTTAGAAGGAACCATGTCCCACCTACCCCAGAGGACCTAGGAAGATCTAGGGAGGAAGTGGTGATGAAGCTAGACCTGAAGAAGTTGGATTGTCAAGTTGATGATGATAATAATGAAGATGATAGCTAATTTATTTATTTTTAATTGTATTTCGTTGTTAAAGGGTCTCACAGTGCAGCTCAGACTCATGGTGATCCTCCTGTTTTCAGTCTCCCTGGTACTGGGATTACAGGCATATGCACTACACCTGGACTTTGTGGCTGCTCAGCCCCGCCCTGGGTCTGGGGCTGGCACGGCATGTCATGCTGGGGATCGAACTGAGATCCCTGCACTTGACTAAGCTTGCCTAAACAGGCGCTTTAGGCCACTGAGCTATCTCGCTGGCCCCCATTATTATTTATTTTTTTATAATGCTATGCAGCTTTCACTTTGCAGCTCAGACTTGTAGTGATCTTCCTTTTTTCAGCCTCCCCAGCACTGGGACTATAGGCATTTGCCACCACACCTGGTCTCAGTGACCGGCCCAGTGTACCCAGAGGCAAGGCTGATGCAGCATGTGGTGTCGGGAATTGAACTCTGATCCCTGTGCTTGCCTAATCAGACTTAGACTGCTGAGCTATCTTGCCAGCCCTGTGATAGCTAATTTTTGAGGACTTTCAAATAACAAGTATTTTGGGCTGGCCAGACAGCTCAGTGGATTAAAGTGCCTGCTTAGGCAGACGCAGGGGCTGGGATTTGATTCCCAGCATACTGTGCCAGCCCCACCCCCAGGGTGCACAGAGCCTCTGATTAAGACTGGGCATGGTGGCGAATGCTTGTAATTTCAATACCTGGGAGACTGAAAACAGAAGGATCACTACGAGTCCGATCTGTGTAGTGAGACCCTGTAGTCCCTGTAGTAAATACATAGAAAATAATAATTAAATAGATAAAATAAGAACAAATAACAAATATTTGGTAAAATATTTTCCATAATCACCTCCCAGCGATCAAGTGAGGGACAGTTATCTCCATTTTTCATCTGGAAACAAGATACAAAAGGAAGGGGGTCTGGCCAGATAGCTCGGGATAGATGGAGGGATCAGGTTTGATCCCTGGTGTGCCTTGCTGGCCCCATCCCCCAGGGCAAGTTGAGACATCGATTGAGACTGGGCTTGGTGGTATGCACCTGTAATCCCAAAGCTTGGGAGGCTGTAAACAGGAGGATCACTACGAGTCCTGTCTGTGTAGTAAGACCCTGTAGTACCTGTACTAAATATGCGAAGAAATGGGGAAAAAAAAAAGATACAAAAGGGCTGCATGTATGCCTGAGGTCATAGACCTAGTAGAGAACAGAGTCAGGACTTGGATTTGAGCCTTCTGAATCCAAAGTCTGTTCACTCCCCCTTGTGATGCCATGGAGAATCAGGTGCTGTGAGCGGGGAGAGCAGTTGAAGTGTGGCAGAGGGAAATGCTCCCCCATGAGCACTCAGGACTCTCAGAACAGGCTCCTTTAACAGGTGAATAATCAGGCTCAGAGATGATGATGCTGATGGCAGGTAGCATTTGTTCAGCTCTTAGGCAGTAGATCACCATCATTCCTTGAGAGAGATACTGTGTGTTCACTCCTACTTGACAGATAAGGAAACTGGGAAATTTGGCTAGGTCAGACACAGAAGAGGCAATCACTGGACTGTAAATTCTAGGAGGCCACGGGTTGTATCTGTTTCACCTACTTCTTAGATGAAACAAAGGATGTCCATCTTCATGTTAGTGACAGCCAGTCTGAGTTGGGGCTGGACTAGATTTACAGTAATTAATACTCTCCCTGTAATATGCCTCACAGAATGATTGTAAGGCTTAAGATAATTAACCTAAACAGTGAACATAGATTGGGCCACAGAAGCTCAGTAAGAACCATTGCTCCTGTGATCACATTATGATTTAACTTCTCTGTTTCCCCTCCACAACCCAGGCTCAGAAGTGCAGCTTCTTGAGTATGAGGCCTCAGCAGCTGGACTCATCAGATCCTTCTCTGAGCGCTTCCCAGAGGATGGGCCTGAGTTGGAGGTGGTTCTCACCCAGTTGGCCACTGCTGATGCCCGTTTCTGGAAGAGCCCCAGGGAGGCCCAGTCTGGCCAAGCTTGAAGATTTTGTGTGGCTCCTCCCTGTACTCCATCCAACCAGAGCTGTGTCTGGCCCTCTATTGTGTAATTGGGGGATAGGGGAGGGACAGGAGCTGGGACTTCGGTGCTACCTCGGCAGAAGGTGGTGACATTTAACCCTTCCATTTGTTGACACTTGCTGATTTACCAAGTGCTTCCCTTATGTTTTTTGATCTGTGCTGCCGTCTGTGGAATGGACACTAGGGGGCTCTATCTGGTTTCCCAGATGAAAAAAATCCAAAACAAACGGTTCTGAGAAGTGATTGATTTAGATCCTGGAGGTGGTATGTGACAGAGTTGGGGCTCAAGATGTTCTCACCAAATCCAGTGCTCTTCATGTATTACTTTTATAACTAGAAAAATAAATACTAGAAACAACTACCATCTTTGCTGTACACATGATTCTTTGCTTTTATTGTCTATAGGCCAATAGGATTAAGGCTTGGGGAGGGAGTTAAGGGACGTATTTTGCCAACTACAACTTCCCCATCCACAACAGGATTTTTACATCATGGCACAGTTTTTGCAACCCTCCTTTTTGTATGTCTTGCATTTAAAAATATTCCAGGAACAAACAAAACAAAACCCAGAAACCATCAATTTTAGTAGTTAAGTAGAATCTGTCACATTGCCCCTTCATCTTCGTATTCTCTAGTACTGAACCTGCACTTCAGTAATGTGAGAGCCAGAAGGGGTATGGCCCTTTTCTCTTTTTTAAATTTTTTAAAAACATTGGATACAGGATCTTACTATGCAGCTCAGACTCAGGCCTAGGCTAACATGCCCTGTTTGGTGGTGGGTTCTGGGGCTAGACAGCATGTAGTTACCAGAAATCGAACCCTGGTCTTTGTACTTGCCAGGCAGGTATTGAGACCCCCGAGCTATCTCTGCAGCCCGCATGGCCCTTTTCAACTGGGTTAGTCATAAAGATGAAGTTCATTTAGGTGCATATAAACCCTAGCAGAGGGTCTTCTCCAGGCCTTGAACCCAAAGGCTATAAAGCCTAGAAAGCATACATTAAAATAAGCAAGGGAGGGGGCCTGCCCCTTAGCTCAGTTCTTTAAGTGGCTGCTTCAACGAAGCAGTCAGGCTCAGGTTGCTGTGGTTCAATCCCCACAACTCAAGCCAGCCAATCATGCCCTGAAGGCATTCGGAGCAAAAAAAAAAAAAAAAAGGGTGACAGACCTCAGCAGTCTTGACCTAGCTCGGGAAAGTTTCCCCCGCGGAACCTTTGTACGTGTGCTTCCGGATACCCGGGCTCTACTGGGGCGGGGCACGGCGGTGGGGGCGGAGCCAGTTGCCAAGACGACGCCTGGGAAAATGGCTGCTAAATCTTCATCGGATTCCGATAGCGGCGGAGCTGAGAGGTGAAGGCCCGGGTCCTCAAGGCTTCCTTCCCACAGATGTAAAGAGGGTATCTTGTTCCGCGGCTCTAAGTTCCTGTGGTTCTTGGGCATCGCTAGAAGTCCTTACAGGGCTCTTAGAGATCGGACAGGGGAACTGATGCCCAGGGAGTGCCTGACTTGAGATCACTCTGTGCGGCATTTCGGGGGCTCGGACTGAGACGCAGACGTTCTCTATTCCCATTTGACGGCCCCCTCTACTCCTCAGGCTTAGACACAGTACCCTCAATGTTTTCCTCCGCATTCTTTCTCCCAACTTACAGCAATGAGACCAATTCGAAATGGCTGGATGCACACTATGACCCTATGGCCAACATCCACACGTTTTCCTCCTGCCTGGGTGAGTCTCTGGAACCAGGAACTCGGGGTTCTAGGAGAATGAAAGTCGATCATAGTCCCGTGGTGAATCTGGGAATTGAGCCCGGGGTCTTGCAAGTGCTATGCAATGTGACTGATCCTGAGAATGACGTGTGGCCTTGTGTTATTTTCCAGCACTGGCAGATTTGCATGGGGATGGAGAGAACAAGGTAAGCAATCAAAAAACAGATGGGTGGTGGTGGTGGAGGAGGTAACCCAGAAGTGAGATTTCTCAGTGGCTCCAAGGAGGTTTAATATAGTCTGAAATTCACATGTAGTGTGAAAATCATGTTTGTATTAACTTTTCTTTTTACTTTAAAAATGAAGAGAACTATTGATTTCATAATACAAACTGAAGAAAGTAAAGCAGAACAAAATCCCACTGGGGATGCTACCAAGACAAAGCCTTTTAATTTACTTACATTGACAGGATTCTTTACTGGGTAAAGCACGAATCTCTTGGCTAAGGGTGGGTATTTTATAATCTGTGGAGGTAAAAGGAAGTGAGAGTTTTATGTTTATGAAGAGGGCATAAATTTTAAGGTTCACTATGATCTGATAATTACTGAAGCTAGATAATGTGTATGTGAGGGTTCATTACACAAGCCTTTCTACTTTTGTGTATGATTGGAAATTTTCCATAATAAATAGGTAAAAAACCCTTAAATTTAATGTCAATAAAAATAAATGGGCTGGGATGCAGCTTAGTGACACAACACCTACCTGGCAAGCATAAGGCCCTGAGTTCAATTCCCCATACAAAACAATAAATAAAATTATAAATAAATATTTAGTCTCATGTTCGCTATGCATGAGGCTCTGAGTTCAATCCCCAGCTCCAAAAAAGAAAGAAATACTGAGTGGATTAATTTGTATAAAACATCAGCTGCGCTGCCACCTAGTCCTCACAAGCACTAACCCAGTTTCCGTAATTATCTCACTTGGTTTTCACCACACATGCCATTTTGCAAGTGGAAAACCTGAGCCTCAGTAAAGTCAGTTAATTTTCTCAAGGACCTGACATTATAGGTGCTTCAGTAAGTACCAGCAAAAATTTGATACTAAGGAGGGGGTCAGTCATTCAAATCTTCAGTCTGGCATGAGCCATCTTCTCCCTGCAGCTGGTGGTTGGAGACCTTGGACCAGGTGGGCGGAATCCCCACCTGAAGGTGCTCAAAGGGCCAGCGGTGCTGGCAGAAAGCCCACTGCCTTCCCTGCCAGCTGCTGTTGCCACCTTCCTCATGGAACAACATGATTCCCGGACTCCAGCTCTGGCACTCGCTTCAGGCCCTTGTGTCTATGTGTATAAGAATCTAAGACCCTACTTCAAGTTCACCCTGCCCCAGTTGCCTCCAAATCCTCTGGAACAAGACCTTTGGAACCAGGCAAAGGAAGTAAGTGACAAAGGGGATGGAAACCAGAAGGTAAAGATTGCAGGCATTGGTGGGATGGGCCAGGCTCTTAGCAAGGAGTTGGGGGGGGGGGTCCCAGTGGGCCAATGATAGGAGATCAGCCACAGCCCATCACCACCAGCAGCAGTGGTGGCCCTTCTAGGTGGGGTGCTGTGCTCAGTACCTCAGCTGTGGCTCCTAGGAAGGCGCCCAGCAGACCCTTTGGAGAGTAGAACTGGTGGAATCCTCCACCATAGCCACACCTCTACCCATCTTGTCAGGGAAAGGAAACTAAATAAGCGTGGGGCTCCCAAGAGAGGAGCAGGCAGCTGAAAGTGGCAAGAGTCCCCTCTCCTCACAGGGACTTTGAGGAAGGCATGGAAAAGAAGATGCTGTCCATGGGTGTGCTTCTGAGGCTGGATTCAAATCAAGGACCCTGAGCTCAGGGCTCAGTGCAAGGGAAGGTTGGGAGGGAAGTGGGGGAGGAAGAGGAACTGTCAGAAGTATAAAGCTGCCCACAGGTATGAGTACCAGAGTTCACAGGCTTTCCCTTCTTCCTCTGCCATCCCAGGACCGGATAGACCCATTAACCCTGAAGGAGATGCTGGAGGGCATCCGGTAAGAGCTCACCTTCTCCCAAACGCTCCTATCCACCTGCACCCCAGAGGTTTCAGTGTGACCCCTGGGGCACTAAGCCTGCCACCCTGGGTACTCTCCTCATAGGGAGAAGGCAGAAATACCTTTGTCCGAACAGTCACTCAGGTAAGGGCCCTGTGAAGGCCTGGGGAAAGGGTGTGGCTGTTGACTGCCCCCAAAGGCAGCTAGTACAGAGCATGCGCATGCCAGTTCTCTTTTTGTCCAGGTTTCTGCAGCTGGAGCTGAGTGACATGGAGGCCTTTGTGAACCAAAACAAATCCAAGACCATCAAGCGGCAGGTAATGCCCCCATTTTTTCAACTGCCCTATGAAAACATTCTTTTTTTTTATGAGATTGTACCATCAGTGGTAAATTCCACCAAAACCCTACCTGTTTCACTTTATAGTTTCTCTTCCAACTGTACCATATGTATATAGTCAAAAGTCAAATGTACCTTGGCATTTTCTTAATGGTGACAAGCAGCCCCTTCCTCAGCAATGCTGAGGGTGGAACTCAGGGCCAGTCATGTACACCACTGAGCTACACTCTCAGCAGTGACAGTTTTTAATGCATAGAAAGCCATGCACACACCTGTAGTCCCTACTCAGGAGGCTGAAGCAAGAGACTTGAGCCCAGAAGTTCAAGATCAGCTAGGCAACGTGAGAAGACCCTGTATCTTTTAAAAAAAAAAAAAA